TGTTCCTCTTTGACCTTGTAGAGCTTGAGAAGCTGAGGGATCACGTGTTTACGGTAAAGAGTTACAGACAGCAGGCATTCTTCACCGCCGCCACTACTGGAATCTGTTGACACAGGTGGAAATGAAGAGGGGAAGTCTAAGCAACATCCACACTAATTTTACACATCAATTCTACGTGAAAGCTTCTTTAGAGGGTCTGAGTTGTTTTAGCAGCAAGAGTGGGATTTACCCGTCTTTGGCCTTAGAAGATGAGGCAGGAAACTTTTCACAGCCATTGGTTCTGCAAAAACTAGAGTGTTGAGGAGTTTGGGGACAAGACGTGCAGCTGTCAGCTCCTCAGGGAGACTCTGGACCCGGTCCAAAAGAAACCTGCACAAACAAATACACAACCAGCATGTTCAGGGATCCTTGGCGAAAACAGTTCAACTTAGAATTATATGGAAAACACTAACAGACCTACAATATTGCACAATACAATTCTGAAAGTTGAAAAGTAAGAACTGCCTTGGTAAATAATGTATGACACGTTTACGAAACTATGTTTTGCATTTACACGATGTACAAACAGCAAACAAGCACTCTTTATAATAAGTAAACCAAGAAGAGCATATTGTTTCTCACTTAAAGAATTCATTCTTTTCTTCTTCAGTCTTCAGGGTCAGACTCTTGAGAAAATTCATCACTTCCAGAAAGTCGTTCCTGTTCATAGAAAAAAAACACTGGTTAAAAACAAATCAATGTTATACTGTACAACAACAGCAAGTCGATCGCACAAACCTGAAAAAGTCATGAGTCAGCAGGGAGCTGAGTGGAAGTCGGCACAAGGGGTCAGAGTTCAGCAGGCCTGCCTGCAGGGTCTTCCCCAGACTGTCAGACAGCTCCTGCGACACTGGAAACAACAGAAGAGGGAGTGGGGTTGAAAAGAGCAGAGAAAAAATACACACTGGACAAATGTGACATGATGTAAGATGAGGTTTGAGGTCATGAGGTCACCTCTACCCACCATAGCCATTCAGGAGAGGGATGAGCATCTCCACCATCACTCCAAAAGAGTAACAGTCTCGAGAGTGAGCATGTTTATCCAGAAGCATTTTAAAGCCCTCAACCTGCCAACAACATGTTTCATGAGAACATGTAAACAAAAGCAGAAGATATTCTATTTGTCAATCATGACTTTTAATCTCTTTACCTGCTCTTCTGGAGGAACACAGCTGGCCTCTCTCACGTTCTGGATGCTTGTGAGAAACTGAGTTCATGGGGGAAAAGGTGGAAAGTGAATCTTCAAATGTCTGATCTACTGTAGATACTTTTAACTTAATTAAGGAAAATACAATGTCAAACATAGATTCTTGGTATAACACTTGTTATAATTCTACCTCTCACCTCTGGGGTTGCTTCAGAAAACTTGCAGACGGTCTCCATCCCTCCCAGTTTCCAGTGACCATCTTCACTGACGTATACAGATGCAATGCAGACGTTGTTATGGCTCGATTTACCCTGGTGGAAGAGGAAGACATGTTATAAGTCACACTGCTTATGACCAGAAACACAAAACAACCTTAGAAGTTGGGCTGTCATCAAATATTCTATATTTGATTATATAACCGAATTGTAAAAAAAAAAAAAAACAGGGATTGGATTACTGTCTGCCTTGTGAGATCTTGCATGGCAGTGGGCAACTGCACAGTACTGAATGCACTGCATGACAGACAGGAGTCACACAATGTATTTAACAACTTTTTAGAAATAATGGCACAGGGTTGACAACTCAACTTGTTAGAAAAAAAACTTTGGGTTTTAGTGAGTAAAGAGCTAAATTGTGGAACCTGAGTTCAAATATTGAAAATATGTATCCAATTGAGCACGGCCAGATATCTGGTATTGCACCTAAACAGCCTTTTACACCTTTTTGCCTGGATATGTCATGTTTAAAAGACATGGTTTTTGCTCACCCTCTCGTGCAGAAACACCAGCGCCTGCAGGAGGTCAAAGATGCCTGCGCAGATCTCCTCTGGGGAGAGGCTGTCCAGCAGCAGCTCCAGGGGCTGCACACGCTCTGTCACCAGGTGGATGCCACCATCCTGCACTGAGCAGGACAGGAAGCGCAGCAGACATGGGTGCCTCAAGGTCTTCAGGTGCTGCAAGAAATTAAAGTATTCATTTGTTTTGTTTTTTTTTAAAGACAGTGACTGTCATGCTCCTGTGGAGGATCATTGAGCAGGAACTGGTTAGACAGCCTATACAAAGCATACGCACATATCTTGGTGGCTTTGTTACCAAATTTGTTTGTTAGTTTTTTTGTAAGAAAGATTAGCAAAAAACTACTGAACGGATTACCAAGAAACTTGGTGGGATGTATCGATCAGGGAAGAACCAAAAATTCAAGTGCATGGATCCAGGATTATTTTTTTTTTGTTAAAACATTTAGTGAACTGATATTTATGAGTTTGTAAAATATGGTGCAGCTTGATTGTATTTGAGTGGACTCTTAGGGCTTGGCGGATGTAGAAGCTTCTACTGAGTATCACTCGAGTTTCTGGAGAATTGCAGAAAACCTGATCTGTATGAGGCACAAATGATTAAATTCCGTGCAGTCCATTGACCTCTGAGAACTACATCTTGTCTATGTTTTATACATAGAACATTTGAAGTGTGATTTATGAAGGGTGGGAGGCTGGAGGATGAGAACAGGTTCCTGCTTTATAAGATTAGGACGATACATTCGTAATACTGTCGGTGCACTTCTACGGGGGTTTTTAAGCGTCTATGAGGACTTGTCTCAGATATCCATTATTATTATTATTATTACATCATACTGCTGCTGCTGCGAGGCAGCTCCGTCCAGTGTGACAAGGCACCGGAAGGAAGCTTCTGCATTAACTACCTTGGCAGCTTTGTTGACTTTGTCTTCATTGTCTCGTTTGTGGACGAACACAGAAGCGGACTTTCCATCCTGGAGCAGAGCTGAGTACATGGTGAGTCCGGAGGGCAGGGTGAGCAGCGGCTCCTCCAGGATGCAGCTCCGCACAGCGCTGCTCTCCGCACCCATGGCCGCGCTGAGTCCTGGAGCTGTGGCCAACGAGCAGAGGACAGGTGGACGTTAAAGGGTCAAGCTGCAGCGTGCTGTTGTTATTCATTCAACACGCACAAATAAGCTGTCACCGGTGAATACCTGTCTGCCCGGACTGGATGTAGCACCGCTGCTGTTAGCTGCTGCTGCGGTCAGGTAGCCTGGCTGGCTAACCTCGGCTACGTTAGCCAGCTGGTCATTGCTACGCCATTCTGCCTCCAAAGTAGCATGCTATCCGCGGTGTGCTACAAAGTCAACCGAACACTTCTCTGCAAAAATATGAAACTGTTCATTTATATTGAGACGACACGACTTAGTTCCTGCTCGCTGCTCGACAAGTCGACGATGCTAACGTGGAGCTCCGCTGTAAACACAAACCTTTCCGGTTTCAGAGCAAACCACAGAGCAGGGGTGTTACTACTTTAAAAATGTTAGATATTGTCATAAAAAGCGAATCTTTGTAGGATTTAGCCAATTATTTTGATATTAGATATATTTACTGCACAACAAATATAATCGTGTTCATTATTATATTTCATAATTCGTTTTGAATCAATACTAAACCACACACCCCCCTGCTCTGGTGGCTAATGGTTGCAACAAGAGTGGCGCGAGTTAACGCAGGTGTGCGCGCGCGGGGCTGACATGGAGAGAGAAGTGAAACATGGAGGCTGATCTGAGGTCAGCACACCCAGAGTGTTTTCGTGTGTTAATTCTGACCTCAGTGAGCCGAGGCCCGTCATCCTGACTCAGTCAACACTAAATCCTGTTTCTAACAATACAAATGTCGTTGAATCACGTCCAATGACAATAAAGACAATCTGAATCCATGTGAGAGTTCGTGAGGAGGAACCACGTGTGGTGAGTTTATATGATGTGAGAGGAGAGCATTTACACATGATCACTCATCTTGATTAGCTTCTGCAGCTCGTTCAGTGACAGACTCATCCACCCACGCTGCTCCACAGAACGACACAGGAAGTCATTCCTGCCTGTTGCTGTCAAACTGTATAATCACAACTTGTAAATAAGCTTAAACATGTATACTGTGTATACTTAACTTACATGTCATGTTGATCTATATTGCAGATTTATTTCTACTTATGCTCATCTTTTACTTTTTACTTTTGTCTTCTTGTTTAATTTGATTTATTTTGATAACGCCGCATTTTTTGTTTAGCCCTTACTCTCACTGCTATACCTGCTTTTTCCATCGCTGGCTCAGGAGCCCTGTGACTTTTTGAATTTCCCTCCGGGGATTAATAAAGTATTTCTGATTCTGATTTCTGATTGTACACTACAATAGAGATGGAACATTTCATTTATATTGTTAATTATATGTTCTATTAAAGTAAGGCCTCATGATACAACGTAAAAAAGTACAGCTATTTTATAGTTGTTAAACCTTTAACTTATCCATAACATTTGTATTTTTAACTGATGATGAACAAACTATTACAAACCTGCAAAGCACAAAAACTGTGAGGTCAGTCGTCTGACTAAAACCTTCAGATGAACTGGTGCTAATGTTTCCAATAGTGTGTCATCATGCATGTCTATATATGCAGTATACAGGCACGTGCACAGACACTTTTGGGGGCAGGTGCTCAAGCCAAAAAAAACTATGGGTCTATCTGTGCACTGCCTGTCTATATATATATATATATATATATATATATACAGTATATAATCAGCACTTCACACTGTGGGTTAGACTTAAACACATGACTCCACTGAGCCCCAAGTTTTTGTCTCACTGACATTGTCCGTGGTTACCTCTTCATTAAACAAACTATTTTTTATCAAACATGAATATGTTTTGTTTCAGTCGCAAACACAAACCTTGTCACAGGAAGTGACAGTTTTGTTACCTTAGAAACTAACGAGCAGGAACAGAGAAAAAAAGAAAAACACTCACATGCAAGTAGGTTTTGAGCTGAAAGCAGGAACCAACATGGATGAGCTCGGTAAGATGACTTTCTTTCAAAGTGTCGATCGTACTCAAACCATGGACCTACAGTGTTTATTCATATAGTCTGATGAGTGTGGTGTGTGTAGATTGAAACTAGTGAAATAAAGATCTGATGATTTAATAAAATACTTACAGTACTGTGGTCTGTGACTCTCGTACTGTAAGACCTGTACTTTGTAATGAAGTATGAAAAGGATTTGAATTACTCTTGCCATTTCTTACATTTATTATGTCCAACTTTTGTTTTGTATTTAAATGCAGTATTTTTTTGTTTACTGACATTTTATCCAGAATGGTCTTAAGAGTCCTGATCTCCGCAGACTATCATGGGAAAATAAAGGTTCTACTGATTTCATCAGAAAAACTAAACTTTAAAATGTTATTGTTGTATTTTTTCATGTCACTATTCTGTAAAGGGTTTTTTTTTTACTTCAAAGGAACCAGATCAGATGTTTAAGATTATTGTGCTAAAATCAAACCCTTTTCTTTTTCTACATTTATATGTTGTTCGCTTTCTCAGAAAAATACTTTATTGATTTTATATGTTTTTCCATATGTGGAGAAGAAATTTTGATTTCTGGTTTTCAAGGCATTACAACATTATGTAAAGTTTCACTTCTGCAACGTGCACTCCACACCATGACTTCCTGAGGAAACTGACTTGCATGAAGTCACATCAACCCCTGATCTGTACATCAGGGTGTTTCACTCTGCCTGTCCTACATACAGTATCATCTGGATTAACAGTTAGCAGCCCAGTGAGAACAAATCAATGTGTTTTAGTGGTTGTGTGACTACTGTGCTGTAAATGCATGTGTTTATGTTTAAGTGTGTTTGGAAAATGTATGGACTTCATCCTTCCACAGATCTGCTGTTGCAAGAGCTTGCCCTGAATGCAGCTGCCCCGAAGACTGTCAGAGAAAATGTGGGGAATGTTACAGATGATGGCGAGGTGACAAAGCAAAACCACAAAAATTAAAACATTATATTGTTTCATAACTCTGCATCGTCACCTTTTCCAGATTCAGATCATCACATTTACTTAATCTTGGTACTTGTGTCATGAAAACATCTGTACATTTTGTGTCTGCAGGTACCAGGTGCAGGCTACACTGGACTCAGCAAGAATGAAAAAGACTCAGTCAGCTCAAATGTCTACAGGTGAACCACAGGCTCCTGTTGATGCCTGATTCAGATTATCATCGTTTAAACATTCAATAAGAAACTAATAAATTACCTGAAAAATTGTATTTCAAGGTTGTTAATGAAAGTGTGTAGATTCATTATCATATTGCACACAAAGATCTTGTTATGGGTCTGTAAGCTTTGCACATTGACGCTGAAGCACCACTTAACAATTTCTGTTTCTGTTTCCTCTATAGATTTTGATCATTTTGTTTTTTTTACATTAATACTGCTAATGTTTTTTCTTAAAATGTATAATCCCACATTACACAATGTGTAAAAAATCATCAAGGACCCTGAATCATGTTCAGAGCCACAGTCCAGATGCAGACTATATGATATCAGAAATGTACCTTAAACATGAAAGAATCCAGTAGATGAAGTCCAGGTTGTAAAAATTTACCAAATAAAAAAATCAATTCCTATAAATATAAGTATTCTGATAAAAAAAATCCTATTCATGTTCTTCAATAGACACAGGCAACACATACATTGCACAAAAGGTTAGAGTTATTGCTCTGTTAACAATTGCTCATAATAGTTGTACATAATGGAATCATCAGTGTTATTGTAAGCTGATGTTAAAATTTGAGATATTGTGCTCTAATGTTTAATTTCCCTCTCTGGCTTTCAGTGACCTCCCAGCTCCCGTGGCAGCTTCTGTGGAACCTGACTCACCCACTAAGGAGCTGGACTCCATCTTGCAAGATCTGATGAGTCTGGGAGAAGAGGTCAGTTAAGTGTGTCCACATGCATGTGCCAAATTCATTTAAATGTTGTGAAAGTACGCAATGAGGATCATCTTTCTCAGTTATCTTGTGTGCAAGAATTGTTCACAGGAAATGAAATTGAGCAAGTGGATTTACGAGGGAAATTGATCAATCTTACCAACAGAGGGCAGCATTGTACTAATCTCAACACTGCACAATCATAGAATGTCAGTATTGGAGCAATGTTAAATATTTTCAACTATAAAATCAAAAACCCAGATTTCTGTGCTCACATGTATCATTTAGGAGAAAGCATCTTCAACAACCCCACCACCGCTTACACAGAAGCAGTCGGTGAAAAGAAAAACAGAAGGGAAGCAAGAGGAGAAGAAGGAGAGCAGCAGCTCAGCAGGTTCAGACGCACAGACCATGAAAACAGACACTATAGACGACCTGCTCGGAGGACTGAGCTCTGACCTGGAGAAGATTGGCGTACGCACCACAGCCAAGGGCCACTGTGCTGCCTGCAACAAATGCATTGCTGGAAAGGTACAGTAAAGGGAAAACCTTTTAAATACATGTATTGTATATTTTACAATTCTGCAAAAAAAAGATGCTATATTCATATGTCTGTACAACACAAGTGAAGTTACTTATAAATATTTTTTCTGTTTCCCAGATGATCACAGCGCTGGGTGAGGTGTGGCACCCTGAACACTTTGTGTGTGCAGTTTGTAAGACGGAGCTGAGCACCACAGGCTTCTTTGAGAGAGATGGACGGCCGTACTGTGACAGAGACTACCACAACATCTTCTCTCCTTGCTGCGCTTATTGCAAGGGGCCCATTGTGCAGGTGAGGAGGGATCGATTCATTACAATCATATCATGGGAATGAAAACAAGGAGTCCACCCCCGTCAAAATCTGACTATTAAAATGTATGTTGTGGCCGTTTATTTAATAAACCCAAAAGCCTTACTAGTTATCCCTTTTTGATTGATAAACACATTTATTGTGTCATATACTACATCCATTCATTTATACAACTATCTGGTTTGGATTGGATGATGACATATAATAGGAAAAGTACATTCTTCAATATGTATCCCACATGTCATCTTAATAAATAGAACACAAAACCATATTGGGTTCTGCAGACCAAAGTCATTAATCAGAAACTAATGCAATTTTCCCTGTGATTCACTTCTACCATACATATTTTTGTGCCCCCGCACATGTGAACATGTGAATTGAGAAAAGTCTTAATAATCCTTATTTGACGTTAAAAGCCTGATGTAATATTTCTATATGTGGCTGGTTAACCAGAACATCCTGACAGCCCTGGACCAGACCTGGCACCCTGAGCACTTCTTCTGTATGCACTGTGGAGACCTGTTCGGAAATAAAGGTTAAAGGCTTGTGCATTAACTTCTCTTCACTGGAAACCACTTCTTTGACAAATACTTTCACAAGTTATCACATGTACAGTCTCAAAATTGTCTTGTACTTGTAGGTTACCTCGTGAAGGACGGGAAGCCATATTGTTGCAGGGACTTCTACCACCTATTTGCTCCCAAGTGCTCTGGCTGTGGGGAGTCAGTGAAGGAGAACTACCTGACGGCAGCTAATGGCACCTGGCATCCAGAGTGCTTTGTCTGCGCAGTAAGCCCTTTCACCTCGGACCACACACGTGGCTCCGAGTCGCACACTAGCCTGAGAATGAATGAGAGAGATATCCACACGTTGGCTTTATTTGCAACATTTTGCCCGCGAGGCTGATGAAAACCGTATGCCTGATGAATACGACGCGGTTGAAATGATGCAAATAAATCAGGGAAACCATATTCCTCAGTGAGGGTATCTATTACATTCTCCTCAAACCCACTTCTCTCTGTGTGCAGCATCTGGTCGAAAAACGCTTCAGTGTGCAACTCCACTTCTGCTTCACTCCTGCAGTTGTTAAACATGAAACGCTCTCAGTGGAGATGCTCTGACATGAGGTAGCAGCTTCAACTTTAGTATATTGTACAGTCCTTTAAAAATAATGCAGAAATACAATGTCCATAAACCTGGAAATACATAAAATACACTGCCCTTAATACCTGTCATCCAGAAAATGGAATACTTCCAACTGTAACTACCTAAACAAATCATTACTGCAGTTATATGGCTCAGCGTTGGCACAGAACCCAAACATTGTTTTATACAGAGCAGCGAGGTCACAGTTCCACCTGGTCAGTGTTGACCCATGTCTCATTCCAGAGGGCAGGAGGTCAAACACTCCACAAAGACGCTGAAGTGGACACTCCAGAGTAGACCAGCCTTTTTTTCAATCAACGCCCTGCATGAAATTAATGAAGCAGTTCCTGCAATTTAGCACCTTTGAGCTTTTTGGTCGCGCTCACGAGCTCGTTGAGATTCTCAAACCGTGAACGTGTGATGACTCTCCTCTAAAACATGCTGGTTCAGGAGAGAGTCATTACGTTACAGTTGTTGTTGACTTGTTGCAGACTGCAGAGAAATTCTCATTCAGCGGATTATTTTTATTGTTAGAAAAACTTTTGACAGAGCAGAGCAGGCGACATTTTGATTTCTTAAATGCAGGTGTCGCTGATGTAATTAATGGATTATTCCACTGATGTGTTCCAAGGCTTTAGTTTTGCACAAGCTGGCTCGCTGTCACAGCACACTGGCACATAGGAATGGAACTATAGCCATCACCAAGGTTAAGAGTTGCACCTGCACTTTTGCTGCTATGACAAGTCAAAGTGTCTGCCAAGAGAAATGTCTGCAGTCAGCTAATATGTGCAGCTTCACTTTCCAGACCCATTTTAAAGCAGTTCTTCATGGATTGTTAACAGTAACGCTGCTATAATTCTTTTTTTTTTGCTTGCTCTTTGTCAGTAATCTTGCCGCAGTGTCATCAGATGCAGCTTAACTTTATTTTACAGCTGACCACTTTTCAAAGTATTACCACAGGATTATAGACTAGGTTTCCATATAGTTTTAACAGAATCTCACATTACAGAGATTTGAAACAAATCAATCATTCAATTAATCAATCACTATTTGCCTCATAGGGCCTAAGTTAGGTCCGGCATCCTCTGCACCTAACCCTCGTCAAGGTGAGGAAAAACTGCAAAAAGAAATACATTAAAAAGAAATGCAAAAAAAAAAGAGAAGTGAGGGACCTCTCCCCCAGGACGGACAGAATAGAGGTTGTGTGTAACAGAGCACATCAAGGAAATAACAATATGTAGTTATATGATGGAGTTCTTTCATCACTCCTCATCTGTGGGCCCTGAATTACAGTGGGTTGTCACTAATCTAATGGTTGGTGGTTTGATCCCCAGCTCTTCCAGTCTGCGTGTCAAAGGGACAGAGAGTTGGTAGATATAGAAGCACTGTATGAGTGTGTGTGAATTGATGAATTTGACTTATTAGTGTAAAGCTCTTTAAGTGATAGAATCATAAATCCAGTTTATTTCATTAAAATCACGCTTTCTAAGAATTGTATCACAATGACACAATAGCAAAATCAAGACTCTCTGCTCGATGCGTGGAGCTATACAAAATACACATCATCATTGTCCATGTTCCATTTTTGCTGATCTTAAATGTTTGATTAAGCAGGAAAATAGTGATGTCAGATAGATATTAATGTCAGCATGTCTGTGAAGTCAGCACCAAGGGGTCAGCTTTAAAGAATAATCAATTTCCTTCTTTATGGAACTGTGAAAATATTTTGCTCAGTGATTAAATAACTCAGTAACATTACTAAAACTATGCTCTGCTTTAGTAACAATAGTGATGTAAGCATCCATTTGGAAAAGTAATGAAAAATCAATGGTATGGTTGTTGAAAAGCAAATGTTCAAACTGAAACGTAAATATCCTTTGTGACCATCTCTTGCCTTTTTTCTGCCTCTCTTCATCCTCTCTCCCTCTTTCCCTCCATCACTCTCCCTCCCTCCTCTGTCTTTATACCCAGGACTGTCTGAAGCCCTTCACTGACGGCTGCTTCATGGAGCTGGACGGTCGACCCCTCTGCTCTCTGCACTTCCACTCCAGACAGGGCACCCTGTGTGGCGGCTGCGATCAGCCCATCAGGGGCCGCTGCATCTCCGCTCTCGATCGCAAGTTTCACCCTGAGCACTTTGTGTGTGCTTTCTGTCTGCGGCAGCTCAGCCAGGGCATCTTCAAGGAGCAGAGAGGAAAGCCGTACTGCTCAGCCTGCTTCAACAAACTCTATGTGTGAGGCGTGCAGGGCGTAAACACACAAATAATGCAAAGGAAACAAACTGTATCATTGCCATTGTTGAGTTTATGACTTCATATTATGAATGATAAATTAAAATTAGGCAGCTATTCTTATTTGCATTGTACAGAGGAGCAACTCTTCACATTTCACTCTCAAGTGATTTTGGATTGTAATATGATCAGTTACATGGTTAAGTAGGATGAGGAATGAACTGTAAATGCAAACATTGTGCCATAATTAATGACATGGTTGTAAAACACATGGAAAATACTTGTTTCCTAATGTAAAGGTATTGAAGAAACTTTTCACATGTGAATTTTGGATGGTTCTGTTGCTGACACAGGATTTCCTAAATCACAATTACTTAAAATACATACACGGGGAAAGGAAAATTCAGAGGCTCAGGTTTAATCCATGGTTTCCACTGAGCTATCCTCAGTTTGCCGTAAGTCTTGGCAGAGCAGAGACACTCCAGCCGTTCGTCAAGGGGCTTGTCTATTTGGCCTGATAGCTTTTATTGGCATGGAAGTGGGACTGGCCTGGAGTCAACGTGCCAGGCCGAGTCTCCTCTTACTCTCACTGACCGTTTGGCCCTTTAACGCGCCCTGGATTCAGACAAGCTCTTCATACTCCACACAAGCTCCTTTATAGCAGCTCGTGGAAGATTAATGAAGGTGCTGAGATGAACAACGGTGGTTTCAGGAGGTGAAGAGTTCCTTCACAGCACAGCATCTTGTCAGCAGCTCACTCTGACTGTCGCGGCACAAATCAACCACACAGTGCTTTAAAGCTTTGGAGAAAAAATAACTTTGGTGATGTGGTATTTTTTTTTTATTGTTGCCTTACATAGTGGATGATATGTAAGGTGGAGAAAACTTGCAAAACTTGAATCCAAGTCAGGACATGGATCAACAAAAGGAAATATGTTATTTAAATGTCAGTTTTTTTGGTCAGCTCTGCAGAATCCTATCATAGAAAAATCAGTGTTTTACATTTATAGATTTTGCAGCTGCACAAATCTCAACAAGCTCTTTAACTCAGCCTAAACAGACATATATGCATTAAGCTACAAAATGGATTTTGCAGCAAGATACCCTTCTTCAATTCAAATAAATTGAATACACCATCAAGGGAATTAAGGGTCATGAGAAGTTAGAAATCTTTGCAATTGCTTTTCATGTTCCAAAAATGGAAAGCAGGAAATCAAAAAAACAAAAGATGTGGTTAAAAACCTTCACTAAATTAAAAAGTAAAAAATGAAATTACACTGAACTTGAAACTTAACATAAATTGATGCTTTTTTACAATCTGAAACTGAATTGCTCCCTTGACTTTGTCTGAAGAAGAAGTTAGATTTGGAATTGTAAAAAAGGATGAATACTGTAAACTTGACGTGTCATTCATATATTTGATCTAGTAAAATGATGTTCACAAATAAATTTACATCTTGCAGTTTTATTTCACTTTTTGTGTGGATGTAAAAATGTAATCACGTAAATCAATCATTAATTCAAGTTTGTTCATGTTTTAAATAATTTTGCAGCTTTTGATATATATTTGTATGAAAATACACAAACTGTATATTTGTGTAAAAAATTTAGTATTTTGCACACGATTAATAATGAATTGCACTTGAATATTTTCAACAGTGATGTTTCACAAAGTCTAAGAGATGGACATACATGTTTTTTTTATCTGTGCATGTGACACTGATCTGAAAGGCTACAAACTAAAATCAGCCAAGACAGAACATATTTAAATGCAAATTCCTGAGGTGTTGAAATTGTCCTTGAAAGCTCAAATTAAGTCTCTAGCTAGTATGTTGAAGTAGTTGAATTTCAAATCAGTGAAAGTTGAACGAAAGGTGAAAACCAAACCTTTCCTGAATGTTCTAATTCCTGCAGAATACTGACTTCAGTATTTTTGTCAACGTCAAACTGAATCTCATCAACTTGTATCTTATCTTCAGATGAATACCGGCTTCTGTTTGTTGACCCTGTTGGCAGCTTTCTCCAGCTTTTCTTCAAACCGGTTTAGAGTTCGCCTTGTGGAGTAAGTGTGTGTGCATGAGAAACGAAGGTGGGCATTAATCACTCTGTCATCGCTGTCAGACCGGGCCCTTCGTGGCCCCTTACAGAATACGGACCTTGCATCATGGAACAAGTGTGAATGTATCGTGTTCAGTCAAGATCCAAAGATCGTAAGTGTTTAATGATCTCAGGGCCTCGTGCCCAAATTCCTGCTGCACTCAAAGACATACTGTAATGCAAAATGTTAGATATGTTAAAATGCACATGAGAGATTTAAGTTTTGTGACACTAAAGGAAGTGAACTTTCCAGCGTAGAACAACATCAACTTGGATTTTATTTGACATTTTGACGTCTCGCACAGCTGTAAAGTTCCACATGGTCACATGGCTTGAGGACTGATATGTTCATTCTAGTATTTTCTTTTTCTTTCTGCACCATCACTGTCACAACTGCATGTTATTATGAGAGGACCCAGCTGCCAAAACTGTCTCATGAGTGGGAATACTTGTTTAATGCTGTCTTTCCTACAAATGGCTTCAAAGAGCCATAAACCAGCGGTTAGCTTAATTTTAGATTTGTGAAAAACCTCAGACACACATGTATACACTAACCCCTGGCTGTCCAGTGGGTTCACTGAAGTACAGACAACACCAGAGCCGAACGAAGCCTCGAACTGAGCAGTAGAAAACAAAAATATGATGCAGGGAAAGATGTTCTGGCATCCACAGGAAAAAAAAGTGAGTGGTATCGTATGGCTGAGTGAACAGGGAGGAAAAGCGTTCTCTAGCACGTAGTAAAAATGAGAAAACATGAAATGTGAGTGGGGGTCTTTTTAAAAGGGTGGCGAATAAAGGGCCGTCTGTGGAAAGCCGAGAGTGTAACTCAGGTGACATTTACAGCAGTGAAACAAAGTACGAACAGTCTGGGAGTGCACCGGGTCATGAGATGGCAGCTCGAGCTCCGTAGGGGAGGAAAGAGGGAGTGAGGAGTACACTGGGACAAAATGGATACCGGTGCTGAGGGAGGCCGGGTGAGGAGGGCAGGGGTTGAGGAGTGTAGTTGCGAGCGTTACCCCTGCGTGACACTGAAACCCAACACTTACCTCCTCTCCTGTAAAATGGCTGTGCCCGCCGGGCCACCCCCGATGGGGATGGCTGAGCGGCCCGTCCAGAACCACACAGCCCCTCTCAATCACACCTGGCTGGCCCGGCCCTAACCAGCTCTCATCAGCTTTGAAGCCTTTTCTGTCGGATTGGTCTTATGTACAGTCCGACTCATTAATCAGCACATTTGCTTGTAGACACACGTGCAGGGAAATGCCAGTTGGAGAAAAGTCAAGTTGCAAATCAACCCTTAAAATGTGAAATCACAGCTCCAGTAGGTACAGTAAAAGCTGGAGGGAGCAGATTACAATCACATCATTACGAGACATGTCCACGTTTACATACTGATGAACTTTACAGTTCACAGCACACAAATGACAAATGATGTCTGAATTATAACAGCTTATATTTCACTTAATGAATCTGTCACAAAATGTTTATTTTCACATTTGCATTACTTGAGCTGGAGTTACCAAAATAAACCAGTGTTTTTGATCTTACTTCAATGATGTAAAAAAAAGAATCCTGTTAGGTAATTCAACAAAACATAATCATAATTTGCTGCCATTAAGAATCTCTCAGTGTAGAGTGAATGAGTTTGTTTAACATGTTGATTTTCAGCATTGGCTCCAGCCACATACGACCCTCTGAGGATGAGCGGGATGGATGATTGATGGATGGATTTTTATAGCGTGCACCGCCTCAGCAAAACCTATTTTATGACCCGGGAATGTTAATTAACTCTTTTCCCAGTCTGATATATTTGATTGTGTAATTTAGTATTGAGTGAAACCAGATTTTAATAGGAGCAGCTCATTTAAATTAACCGAAGTGATTATATTAAGACAGAAAGGTTGGGTCTGGACAGTTTGTCTTCCACAATAATGCATCAGGACACGTTCACAGCAACAGGAAAATACAGAGAAAATTAATTCAAGGGGTGGTGCCTGCATATAGACCATGTTGGAGGCAGGACATGATGCATGAATTCCCTGCCACATGTTTCAGAATTTCGTTGTCGTCCCTCATCACCAAAAGCTCTCAAATCTCGTCTTTTCAATTTGTCATCTTCATCGATGTATCACACCTCATTTTTCATCCTGAGATATTTGTATTCCTCCAGTTTCTAATTTGTCACATGTTTAAAATGTCAGCAACACACTCTGATTAAATTTTTCAGTCATGCTCTATAGTGTCTCATGGGCTCACTCTGTCATTTTACAGATCTTTCACCAGGGTGCTTGCAGGAAAAGTACCTGAGAGTGTAAAAAGCAACTGACTCAGACAGTTTCAGGAGAACTTTAGTGATATTTGATTTTATTTAGATGTTGACAGTCACTTTTTCTTTTAGTTTTGACACGTCCGTAGTACTTTTCACCAAGCAGGGAATATTGCTGCTGTCATCAATTACCGATCACAGTTATTAACTATGGGAGGCAGACGTAAACACATTTTCTGGCATAATCACCTGTTATTTCTGGCAACTATACTTGTGTGCATATTATCATTAAAGATAATTTGCGGATATTGTCTTCAGTATCCTGGTAAGTTCATTGTCATGACACCATTAGCACGATTGTAAGTGATCCAATGTGATGGGAAATCTGTGGGAAAATATTAATTTGAACTTGTTTGCAGATGTTGTAACTACTTCATGTCCTTCAGAGAAAGACCAGAGGATTTCTGCGACAACCCAACAACCAGAAAATCAAAACATTATGTGAAGAACCAGTCATCCGAACTGGGAGGAATTAGAGTGTCCATCACTATTTGCAAAATGTGTACATGCAAATTTCAGCAACCCACAAATGGGAGCTGGTATAAGCCAGCAGAGCCGGTCTGAGGGGAATGCCTGCGTGAAATAGAAGTGTTTCTGTGTGAGAGTTCAAATGAATGTGTTTTTAACAGCAAAGGAAAAGTGACAATTTCAACACCTCAGAAATTACTTCCATGCAGAGAGAAGTCGAGCTGGACGCGGCTCCACTTCTGGCCGTGTTTGTTTTGGCATCGAGCGAACGCTGGGTGCAGGTATCACACCTGATTCATGACTGGCTCCTCTGTCCAGAAGAAACCTCTTGTTGTCCTTGGCCCAAAAGTCAGGACTCCTCTCTATCTCACACTCTCTCACACACAGCAGCTTATGAATGCACACACACACATTCACACGTAAAACACACACATGTGAAACACACACACACGTAAAACAAACTTGTAAAAACTATTTGTGGATTTTTTTATTCATGCTGTCTTGGGTTTACTCAGCACAATCACATGCACAGACTCATGCTTAAACACAAAAACTTAGCTTCACACACACGCACAAATCACATATGCATACTGTTTGTGGGTTCAGTGACCATAATCACGCACACACACAGATGCAAAACACGTGCACACACATAAACATATAAAAGCTATTTATGAGTTTGGTCTCTCTCTCTCACGCACACACATACACGCACAACCAAGTCGAATATGCTCTTCTTGGGCTTGGTTTACACAGCATATCTATGCGAGCACTGCCGTCTCTGCCGGATCCTTAACCAAGTGAACTTGAGGTCTCCGGTTTTATCAGTTAAATGGAGTCAGCTCCCGAGGGGGACGCTGTGAGGTTTCTCATGACAACTTTGAAACACTCCATCTCCCGTCTGTCTGCTGCATCTCCCTCTCATCGCCTGCCAAGTCTCTCAGTCGGACCTCCATGCTCAACATGGAAAAACATGGAGGAAGAGTCGGAGAAAGAGGCCGCGCTGCACTTTATCTGTAGCCTAATGGCAGCGCAGACCGAACTGGCTGAGGTTACGAGAGATTTATAAGACAGTGAGCTCCTTCTGTAGACTAGCCTTTAGTGTCAAGAAGATAGATGGTTTCATTATGCCTCTTCATTGTGTCCATGTGTGGGTGTGCTTTGCAGTGTGCCAGAGCAGCACAGTGTGTGACATGTTTAGGGGAAACCATTCCTGCGAACGATGGAGGTCTTTGAGAAAATTAAACCATTCTTGTAATTGTTAGAAGATGTTTTGAATGATGGGTAATCCTGTAAAGATTTGAGCTGGTTTCTTTTTCCAAAAGTTGAAGTTCAGGCTGGGTTTTCTTCAATAGTTAAATTTGGGTAAGGGATGGTAAGGTGACCCTGGAGTGGAAGTTAAGGGTGTGGATCTCTGTTTGTCTTGTAAGCAGTAGATAGTTGAAAACCAGAGCAGAGGGGCTCTAACCCTGGACCAGGTGGGGATACATCCACAGTCT